ACTTGCGTTACATAAAGCAACAAGGGCTGATAATATACACTACCAGCTCTTGAAGCATTGGCCTGAATTCCATGGAACAAATGGTAAATAATAGAATATTCGAAGTACTATTGAGTTAGTTTTACTCCACCTTTAGTAATATTCCAGCAATATCACGGCGGGGACTCCAGAAATGGGTTCATACATTGTCGTCGAGCAAAGGCTTTAACCACTATGCTACCTCAACTCCCAACGTACTAGTGATAATCTAGTACGACTGGAATACTTAAATGCTATAGTAACTTAACGACATGATCCTGAGAAAACATTTGATACTACCTAGAAGCATTTTATGTTAAAGGATCTCCTTGATTTTGGTTTTAGAGATCGTTTGCTTCATTTCATATACTAGGCGGTGGGGTAGCCTAGTGGTTAAAGCGTTCGCTCGTCACGCCGAGGACCCGGGCTCGATTCACTACCTGAATACAATGAAGTATTGCTAGAATATTGCTAAAAGCGGCGTTAAACTAAAACTCGCTCACTCACCCACTCATTTCGTATTACAGTCATCAACAGATAGCCAAATTCGAGTGGGTTGGACGCTTTCTCATCATTGCACTCAAGATCGGGTTCTTCCACAAAGGGAGTCTATTGTCTGTCACTTTATGAAGTATCAAAATCAACGGACATGGTTTAATTGATTCAGTAAAAGGATCGCTTTTCGTGGATGGTTTTGATAAACTATGCATACAAATGGTGAGGCAGTTACAAATGGTTCTCAATTTTCTTAGTAGCCACCTTGTAGGAAATATGATCCACGCAAAGACCCAGAATCAAATTTAAATGATACGCCAAGGTGTGAAAGGAGCCAAATGTCTCGGATTTAATCTCTGATCAGCTTTCAATCTTTCTGTCCGAAATCAAATACTTATACAATAAATGTCTGAAGGCACTTGATTTACTAAAGGTGTCGTGAAGATCAACATTTCCACACACAGTGTAATGTGTTTAATTGAATTGATAGCATGTCTAAACTAAACAAAGACTTACATAGAGTACAGTATTATATGTATATACGAGCATTCGAGATTTCGTTGAGGATTTCGATCACCTAATTAAAACGCAGTAAAAAGAAGATCCCAGGATTTCCGAAGTCTGAATCTGCAATGGAAGTCGAGTGGATCATGACTGACTCAGAAAAGCCGTTCCTGACCATGGAGACAACAAGATTCCAACTTTCGCCACTAGATAAAACCTAGAATAGATTTGAAGCAGGATTATGTATGCTTATGGAACATTCTACTTTTCATTTCTGCAGACGCACACCACCATTCAGAAGTACAAGGGATCACGTATCTTCTTGTATGCATGATACTATCCAACAAGCCCCAGATAACCTACACAACGGCGTTCCAATTCCTGAAGACGGCAAAGACAGAGACAATTCAACTGAATCTCCAGCACAGATTCTTCAGCTATACTTTGAGAGAGCAGGCCCCTACGCTACTCCCTCTGTCTTTAATGGAGTTATTCCATGGCTGCTACTACCGTTATGCCCAGTCTCTTTAGAGAAAGATTCAGCATATTGGGCTTACACAACGCTACAAGAACACCGACTTCAGACAACTCGCCAGATAAGACCCTGATACCCTCCCACTGGCACCCCTACATTAAGTCCATAACGCTAGATTAGACGTCATTGCAGAAGCCCCATTGGATGAGAACAGTACGAAGTTTATGCACTTGCTGAATGCTGACTGGGAATAAATCTTGAATGTTTCACTCATGTGACTCACTGTTGCATATATATGTAAATTATGCATTAAACCATATCCAGCAGCATATTTTTTACACGCATCCATCCAACAATATTTGTTAATCTATCCATACCTCCAATAAACGTATTTTTAAATCTATCACAGAGTTTGTTTTTATTTTTTCGAATGCTGAAATTGGTACACTTATTAACCTCCCCCTGGACAAAGTTTATGGACTCTACCATACCCAGATCACCTAAATCCGAACAATCATCGTGTCATAATATACCCATATCACCTAACTAGTTCTCGGTACAAAATGTGTATTTATTAGGTGAACCGAGAGGACACCGAATACCAGTGTTGCGTGTCCTACCGGTGGGGCGGGACGAGCGAGCCTTTTCTCGAGCACTCCGTTTCATTATTGTTTGTTGGTGAGTCACTCCTGGAAGGTTGATTGAGTGCAGTCGATGCGGACAGGTATTAAGTATTATTAATATCATTATTAGAAATGTTTTGTCGTTTTAGTTAACCGCTGAACATGGGAGATAGGAACCTTATCATTTTGAAAATGAGAAATCAAATGTATGTTATTATGAATGTTTTCATGGCCTACCATGATGTATCATGTCTAAAATCATGTAGCATATACAATTATTGGTCCGTGACGTACAGCAGGCACACACTATGTGATTATGTTTTCACTGTTGTGGCGATCCTATTCATTACTGTTCAAGGTCATTAAACAGAGAAACGACACAAACATTACCATATGTTTGTATAGAAAGATCATATATGCCGTTTACAAAACACAGATGCTGTCATCTCGCATACTTAGACGTGAGAGCTAAGATAAGGCTGAGGATCAGTTATCGTAAGGCTGTCCCAAGGATCAGTTCTCCTAAGGCTGTTAGAAGGGAGTTTATACGATATTGTACCATGACTACATGAAATACTCGAATTTGATTGGGCAATCAATGAAATTAGACACTATCAATTTGGATTGAAAATGCGTCTGGTTTTAAGACTGCTTCACTGCGAACGTATACAAGACTGCCGCACTACTTCAGCTCGCCCACTAACATGGCTGATATCAACACAACAGACGTGATGGAAATATCAATAATAAAACATTTATTAAAACTCGAAATATACAATTATATGATTTTTCCTCCACAATTATTACGGAACCTCACGATCATATTACCTTCTATTATAAGAATATTCAGACTCAATTACAATATACAGCCCCAACCATAAACAAACAATATCTAAATAAACAGAAAGCCTTGTAAAAATACATCCCTATTTATGTATAATTTACAACAAAACGTTAGATATGCTTACATGGTAAACGTTATAATTGTTTGCGTTCAGAATGGTTTACACAACATGAGATATCCAGTAAGTTTGGAGCATTACCTAAAAAGACTGGCCTCACAACTCCGACACTTTTATGCGGAACTTCGCAAGATAAAGGTCAGGCGAAACACCAAATTTATGCCATTCATACTTCCTCATGTCCTGTTGCAACGTTCAAAAAGTACGTGTCAAAACTGAAACCACCCGAATTGTGCTTTCTGCGAGCTTCCCCGCAAGGCTGTAACTGCTGGTGATGCATGTTCGTACTCTTTAAAAAAATCCGCTTGGCCACAATCCAGTCCCAAATGATGAAAACAATTTCCAAGGAATCCCATGTTAATTGCATTTACACAATGCAGCGCTGTCACTCTTTCGTCGTATGCCGGGATAGAGGCACGTGAAATCATGATCGAAATTCGCCGGTCATTAAAATCAACAGGCCTTGATGAGAAAAGGGATCTATTGTTCGATTCTGCAGGGTTCAGATTCGACAGTCAGTCAAGTATTTTCCTCCACTGCCAAATTTCAATCTTTCGCAAAATGTAAACATTGGCTCATCCGCCTCTTTCTAAAATTCAGACTGTTGCGTAACTGTCAACAACTACTTCAAAGAAAATAAGTAGGCCAGACGATTCCATTATAGAGTTGCCAGGGGAGTACAGTGCCACAGCACACAAACAATAGGCTGGTGTCAGTCGTGTGTGAGTGGGCTTATAACCAAACAAGCTCTTAGGTGTTACATTATTACATTGAATAAATAGTTGTTTGTTTTATTGGACAGAATATTTTTTTATGTTGCTATATTAGAAAAATAATACGGACGGCGCCTTCCACTCCCTTCGCAGACGAGTTCAATTCATCTCTCGTGCCATGCCGGATTACGCAGTGTCTTCGATTTTAAATCGGTTATGGTGGAATCGAGATAAACATAATGTGTTTGAAAATGAGATGAATGTTAGACCGAATTGACAGTTTCTAGATTAATCATTTGAAACCTCGCGCTACGGTCTAATATTCATCAAATGTTCACCACAGTACGTTTATCTCGAAAGTAATTGTGCTCGTATGTTAAAGAAAAGTTGTTGAATCAAAGCTTCAGCCTCTATGTCTCAGGGGGGATGTTGAACAATCTGAATGTTATGGCGGATATATATTAGTCTGTACGCATACAAATCATGACTGAAAGATATTGGGAAATAACAGGATGGCATTACATGATTTGCAAATGTGATTATTGATAAAGTAAGCGAAATACACCCATTATCGCAGAACCACGCGCAGAAAATATAATATGTATGTCACAGGTAAACACTGACCGTCAATGCCATCTGTGAGCTAATTATGTGTTCATCATAACATTCGGATATAACCCACCGACACACGATAGGGAACAGCTAACTTGCTGTGTTATTTCTCTGGCATTGAGTGTCCATTGACTTGTACTGTCTATCTCCAGCTAACCTAAAACAGCGATCGTCCTGATGACGATAGCGTTGTTAGGACAAGGTTGTCACCTTGTGCTTCTATGCAGAGACACTACATTAAAACCCTTTTCTTATTTCAGAGACGAGTGCTTGATGTAAAACAATGTTACCTGCAAGCAGTCTGTGAAAATGGATGAAAACTGCGGTCGATTGTTGTTTTCCAACCGCAGAGCACGCGTCAAAATGCCTCAGTGTTTAACACACTGGCATCGTGGTAAATGGTACTTTGGCACCCCAATTTACGAGAAAGAATTGAAACAAAGTGGGGAAGGGTCACATGCATCCCCCAAAACGTCTATCCCCCCAAACTGTCATTCAACAGAACCAAGCGTTTTCGACAGTGAGTAGCTTCATTACTGTAAACATAGGATGTATTTATAGCAGGGTCAACGTGGCCATAGACTAACCAACACTCTGCTGGGGTGTGAGGTTGTTTATTTCGTAGGATGAAATATTGCTGAATGTTAAACGACACCCTGTAACAATAAATATAATAATATTATATACATCTCACACAATTCATACAAGATACATATAATTCCATACACGGGTTAATACATATGGATGATTATCAATAATACTCAAAGCATGAATACCATTACTTACTACACTTATGGAATATGGGCATTATGAAATTACAGCATTACGAATAACGTAATGATAATACATGCATACAATGTAATACACACAAGATAGATAATAATACACCATTACGCATTAGTCGTAATGATAAAGTACAGCTGATTCGTCACCACGCATTACGTGATGGTACTACTATATACAAATACATGGATATATAAATTATACATATACACATACCCTGTGGGTGGTACAAGGGTGTACAATAATCGGGCACAGCACCAGTCTTGTGGACGGGGACTTATCTGCTGCAAATAATATTAGATGATAAATAATATACACTGTAATGTGTAGTAGATTAAGGGCTGCTACATGCATGAACATAAAATTATTTCCACACAAATTGATAATTACACTTATAGTTATCACAGTTAAAACATAGCAACTTATATTAAAACACATTCTCTCACCTCACACATTCAGTGAAAGGGATAGTAAAGATAAGAATATACTAGTGATACTTATTTATGTTTATACCTTAGGCTTGAAAAGCTAGCATAAATACATTTAGCACACTTACATGCTATACAATATAATACCTATTTAAATGATAGTAAATAGATATACGTTTATTATATACATACTGCAAGGATTAAATGCAATATTACTTTAATTAAATGAATACTAACCTTAATGTCACACTGTGTCTGTCCAAGCTGTCTTTACATGGCAAAGAGTCAGTGCAGAATGAGTGAAATTGTGCATGGAGTTGATGAGACCAATCAACCGAGAAGCGTCATGGCTTGGGCAATTAGTGAGACAGGCCAAGCTCTAAAGCTTAAACCTTAAACTGCCTAGAAATAACATAGCTAAAAGGAGAGAATAATAATATGATTAAAATACTATATTTAAACTAAAATACACCTGCCACATATGGTGGCTGTGACTGCCATTTCAGGAGCGAACATGAGCCCTAGTCAATACAGAAATAGAAAGTCAACAAACGTTGATCCAAATAGTCCGTTGAAGATGGTACGGGATTGAAACCAACTGACTTGTGTTTTAGGCAGTCTCGGTAGGCAAGAAACAACAAGATCGCAAGGCTGAACTAGACCTCTCTTCCTAACAAGTGCCAGTTTACTACATTGACTGAACAACTTCAGTGTTCCAGAGATTAATAGGTTAGCTGATAAAACACACTGACAAATGGTCAGCACTATAGCTAATTTATATTATATATACACCCGTGCATTGATTAAGCACCACCCTATTTTGAAAATAAGATGTGATGCTACAGAAAAGTTATAATCATCAATATAATCAACCTATAATTGAAGAAGCTTTATCCTTTGACAGTTTTCCAAATACCATAACCTTTTCTATTCTTTATGAAAGAATATGTTGATGAAAATGTTATGGGACTGAATTTCTACCCAAAAAAACTATTCCTCTTCTGCTCAAACTACAAATTAAATTAAGTTTTGACCAAAATTTACAAGTCTGTTATATAGTATACTAAGATGACATTTACACTGTATCAATGTATTTTGGAATAAATCTCTTTGATTTTGAGTTTATTATATCGAATAAACACTTCTCCTTGCCGGATAACTAAAATCTGTTTGTTTTGTTTGTAAAGCAACTTTTAGTGCATTTTGAAATTTGACATACTTTTTGTTTTACTAAATCTTAATTTACAAAAGTTCATCCATTCACAATAAGTAACGAATGCATAGGCTTTAAAACAATCAATCAAAAAGGGTAGCTTGTTTCAGGACAAAAAACACCTGTTTTATTAGGCAATTATCCTAATTAAAGTACATGGTTATTTCAATGATGTTGAAATGGTAAATGCTTGCTCTATCAAATTATAAAGGTTACATCAATCACAAATAGTCCACAAATGGTACATATATAGGAGGGGAACAAGTATTCTGTCATCTCTTATTTTCATCTGCTCTTAAGACACAGATACGTGTTAACACCAAACTGTAAGTACCGTTTCAAGGTTTGCTGTGGTAAATATGTATACTTTGAAGTTTTCATTCTTCTGCTGCACATCTCTCCTGTTTCATACATTGATCCAATTCATCAAAGTGCGAATATGTAAAGAATGTTTAGTTGTCAAAACTGATAACATCATTCATTAGGAGTGGCGTGAAGTAAATTCTCCAGACGAGTAATGATAACATGTTTTTTCCCTGTCTTGAAGATGATTTTCATGTTACTGAACAGATACTCAAAATGATGAAGATAGTCGCCGTCCTTGTTGCCTGCCTGGCTGTTACCGCCTTTGCTGAGCCAACCGGTCCGTATGGAGCATATGGAATGGCTGGGTTGTATGGAGGAATGGGCGGAATGCACGGAGGTCTTTACGGAGGCTATGGCGGTGTGTACGGAAGAATGGTCGGTCTATAAGGGGGCAAATACGGATACGGCATGGGAGGTCTGTATGGAGGACTCGGAGGCTATGGTGGTCTCTACGGAATTGGAGGCTACGGAATCGGACTAGGAAAAGGTATTTCACAACACATGCTGTCTCTTTTTTCATCCGTTATCCCATTTTAAACTTAAGGTCACTTTTACAAAATGATACCTGCATGTATTTATTACTATTCTACGCAAATAAGCTGAATTCAGTTGATAAACATCTTCAAAGCTGTTGTCAGCTACTTGAACTACTTGGTTTGGTTTATCGTGCAAGCACTTTCAACATTTCCATGTTACGTTTCCATTAATCCCAGTTTTACATGTAGCTATCTTTTTTGTTTCAGGAATCGGCTACTACTGAGTTACTGTCAACTGCAGTGTGAAGAAGACTATTTATTTTGTATGCTCATGACAGTGCAATTTTTTAAATAAATATTTGAAATATAAACGATTTGTGCTTTGTTTGAGAATCTGCTGAATTCAATGTTTACAAAAAGGACGAGTTGCTATATTTCTCCATAATATTATTAACTCTGGATAAATGTTTTGTTTAACTATATCCAAACACCTAACTGGTACTCAGCTTTGCCACAAGCAGCGGTGTCGACTAATGAAATGTGCTCAGAATTTCCTGACGAAAACAGATTGAGTATGAGGGGAGGGATTTTAGACTTGACATATTTCATACAGGCTATCTCTTACCTGCTTGTGTTGCCACGAAGGGTTTTTATGGCGTCATAGTGAAATCCAAAGAATACACGGAAATAAGTCATATTGCCGTGTTGAGGTGCATTAGGTCTTTCAACAGTAGTCAGAATACACGGCGTTCGATTCGAATAGAAGTGTGTGTCCTCTCCTAGAAATTAAGAGAGTGTTCTTCTCGGAATACAATGTATACGTACGCATTGTGCTTTTGATGATTTATATCTAAGTTGCTGTGATAAAACCCGCCGCCATATAGCTGGAATATTGCTGAGTGCGGCGAAAAACTAAACTCACTCACTCACTGTGATAAAACAATGATAGCCATGGTCTTGAAGAATAAATAACAAACACATGCTGTAGTAGTCTTACTGCCTATATTAGAGGGATTGCGTAGCAGTTGAAATTTCATTACATTAGCATATGATATCAGTTTAAGCATCACACAGACCAAATGGTCTACAATCATACGTTTCTATTGAACATGCTATGAATAATCGGTAACATTTGATGACAATACCAATTATTTTGTACACTCCATGGGAAGTTTACTTCTTGATTTCATGATGTAATTTAACTGTTTGCATACCGCTGATTTTGCAGTTAACAGGAGAAGTATTTATCTCTGGTTGTACTATCCAAAAGTACAGATTTATCAAATCGGACGTGAATTTGATGCTTCGAAACTGATATGGTAGAAATGAAGATTTCAATAAAGAAATAATACCCAATATAAGAAACTGCTTGATTGATTTGAAGGCAACAGTAACATCATCCATGAACATACAGAAGACTGTTTTCACCATGTAAAGGGCATATGTAAAGTGTAGAGTCGAGTTTTCTATTTCTTCTTCCTACTGGTGTTTATGATCAAACATTCTCCGGAAGCCTAAAACAAGTTGAATTGAATTACTTGCAAAAGTAATTAACTATACATTCAAATGTACCAATTGTTGAGGCATTAACCAAAGACAACATTCTTCTGATTAGACACAAGAAGGAACGAACTTACCGCTAGCACCTTTTCGTCATCACTAATGTTCAGTATATGTTTCAGTAAAATTGTTGCCTTTATGACTGGAGAATTAAGTGTTTTATTAGAAGATCTACTTGTCTCTGGCGTTGACATTTTATGTAGGTACAAGAAAACCATTGTTTATTATGATGTCAATAATCAATATTCAATATTTTTAGAAACTCCGATAACACATTAAGTGATGTTTGTATTATTAGACTTCTTAAATTAAAATTCAGTTGGTTTGAATCCCGTCCATTCCTCAACGGACTTTTTGGATCAACGTTTGTTGACTTTCTTTTTCTGTATTTACTAGGGCTCAAGTTCGCTCTACCAATAAAAATGAGTCATTTATGGTAGTCATAGCCACCAGACACATCCTATGTTTACAGTTATGAAGCTACTCACTGTCGAAAACTCTTGGTTCTGTTGAATGACAGGTTTGGGGATAGACGTTGGGGATGCATGTGACCCTTACCCGCTTTGTTTTAATTCTGTCTCATAAATTGGGGTGCAAAAGTACCATTTACCACGATGCCAGTGTGTTAAACACTGAGGCATTTTGACGCGTGCTCTGCGGTTGGAAACCAACATTCCTTTACACTGACTGCTTGCAGGTAACATTGGCACTCGTCTTGATGTAACCATGTATCTTTTCACACACATGGTCATGGAGAAAAGGGTAAGGGTGTCTGTGCATAGTTCCGAGCACATGAATACGACCTGGTCCTAAACAACGCTATAACCATCAGGACGATCGCTGGTTTAGGTTAGCTGGGGATAGACAGTACACAGCAATGGACACTCAATGCCAGAGCAAAAACACAGTAAGTTAGCTGTTCCCTATCGTGTATTAGTGGATTACTAGTATATGGGAATGCAATGATGAACACTAATGATGCCCGAAATTAGCTCATAGATGACATTTACTGTCAGCGTTTATCTGTGATGTACATGTACAGTTATATTATATTTTCTGTTATCACGTCTGTAATATTATCAGTCATTTCCCATTCTACCATGAGTACGCGAAACACTCGAATTCGATTTGACATTCAATAAAATTACACACTATCAATTTGGATTGAAAATGCGTTTTTTATGACCGTTTCACTGTGCACGCATACAAAGCTGCCACACTACTTTGGCTTGACCACCAACATGGCTGACATCAACACAACAGACGTGATGGAAATGTTAATAATAAAACATTAATTAAAACTCGAAAATACAATTATATTATTTTTTCCTCCACAATTATTAGGGAACCTCAATATCATTATTACCTTCTATTATAAGAATATTCAAACTCAATTACAATGTACAGCCCCAACCATAAACAAACAATATCTAACTTATCAACAAGACGTTCGTAAGATTTGCCTGGTAAACGGTATATTTGTTTACACAACATGAGATATAAGTCCTCCACTGCCACTTCAATTTTCAATCTTTCGCAACATTTAGACACGGGCTCGTCCGCTTGTGTGAAGCCCATGTCTGGTGTCCCAGATATTGCTGGAATATTGTTAAAAATGGCGTAAAACTAAACTCACTCACTCACTCTTTCCACTTTTCAAACTGTTGCGTAACTGTCAACAACTACTTGAGAGTAGGTCAAACGATTCTATTATAGTGTTGCCAGGGGGTACAGTACCACAGCACACAAAACAATAGGCTGGTTTCGGTCGTGTGTGAGTGGGCTTATAACGAAACAGGCTCTTAGGTATTACATTATTACATTGATTAAATAGTTGTTTGTTTTCTTTGGACAGAATATTTTTATGTTGCAATATTTTAAAAATACGGACGGCACCTACCACTCCCTTCACAGACGAGTTCAATTCGAGTATAAATCGGTTGTGGACTACGCGTGAAGTTTCAGATGAAATTTAGAGACTATCAATTCGGCCTAACATTCATCTAATGTTCAAACACAGTACGTTTATCTCCTAAATATGTTTCAGTCATGATTTGTATCCGTGCAGACTATCTATCTGTGGTAAACCTTAAGATAGTTCAGCATTCCCTCTAAGACCTGGGTGCTGAAGCTTTGAATCAATGTTTCTTAAACATACTATCACGATTACTATCGTATAAACTCCCTTCTAACAAACTTACGAGAACTGAAACTTTGGACTAGTTCCAGCCTTCTCTTAGCTATCATGTCTAAGCATGCGAGATGTGTTTTGTAAACGACATATATGATCTTTCTACGAATATATGGTAATATGTGTGTCGCTTCTCTGTTTTCACGAAGTTGAACCGTAATGAATAGGATCGCCACAATAGTAACAATATGTTCACGTAGTGTGTGTCTGCTCTACTTTACGGTCCAATAATTGTATATTCTACATGCTTTTAGACATGATACACCATGATTAGGCCATGAAAACATTCATAATAACATACGTTGATTTCTCATGATCAAAATCATAAGGTTGATATCTCTGATTTTCAACAATTAACAAAAGCTACAAAATCTTTCCCACAATAACATTAAATAATTTTTGAATACTTGTCCCCGTCGAATCGACCTCTTACAGGAGTGACTCACTAACAAACAGTGATAAAACGGGAAACTAATTAGGTGATGTGGTATGTTATGACTGGATGATTGATTGGGATTAGGTGATTTGGGTATGGTAGAGTCGATAAACTTTGTCCAGAGTAAGTTTAATAAGTGTACCAATTGCAACATTCGAATACATGAATGACAAACTCAGTAACAGATTTAAAAATACGTTTATTGGCGGTATGGATGAACACATATTGTTGGATGGATGCTTGTCAAACAAATATATTGTTGGATACGTAATTTAAAAATGTACGTGCGTATACAATAATGAGTAACATGAGTGAAACATTCAATTGTTAAAACACAACTCAAGATTTATTCCCACTCAGCAAGTGCATAAACGTCGTACTGTTCTCATCCAGTGGGGCTTCTGCAATGCCTTCTAACCTGACGTTGTGGACTTGATCTAGAGGTTCCAGTGGGAGGGTCTCAGGGTCGTATCTGGGCGAGTTCTCTGAAGTGTTCTTGTGTCCAAGTCCAAGATGCTGAATCTTTCTCTAAATAGACTGGGCATAATGCAAGTCCAAGATGCTGAATCGTTCTCTAAAGAGACTGGGTATAATGCAAGTCCAAGATGCTGAATCTTTCTCTAAAGAGACTGGGCGTAATGGAAGTAGAAGCCACTGATTTTTGTCTCAAAGACAGCTGGGGCAGCGTTGGGAACAGTTCTTTCAATGTATAGCTGAAGAATCTGCAGCTGGAAATTCAGGTGAATTGTCTCTGTCTCTGCTATTTTCTGGAATTGGAACGCTGTTGTGTAGGCTCTCTGGGACTTGTTGGGGAGTTGCATGTATACAAGAGAATACATGGTCCCTTGTACTTCTGAATTGTGGGGTACGTCTGCAGGAGTGAAGAGTAGAATGTTCCATCTGCATACATAATGTCTGCTCAAAGATATTCTAGGTTTTCTCGAGTGGCAAACATTCGGTTCTTGTCGTTGTCCCCATGGTCAGGAACGGCTTTTCTGAGTCAGTCATGATCCACTCGATTTCCATTGCAGATTCAGATTTGGGAATCAGCATTGAACTATTGAAGCTATTTCCTTGACAAGCGTTATATTGAAGTAAGGTGTGACAATGGAGCCAGTTGAGTACCGAGCAGTTATCAAGTTTTTGTACTTGAAAGGTCGTACGCCAAAAGAGACCTTTTATTAAATGAAAGCAACTTATGAGGATGATGCCTTATCGTATGACGTAGTTAAACACTGGCATCGCCAATTTAAATGAAGTCGGGAATCTGTGGAATCTGCTCCATTCCTGGTCGACCGCATTCAGCCATTGATGAAGACACTGTCCGTAAAGTGGAGACTGCCATTTTGGAAGATCGCCGTATAACTGTTCGCCAGTTAGCCCATGATGTCAAGTTCAGTGTAGGGTCTGTGGAAAGAATCATTCAGGACAATTTGCACATGCATAAGGTGTCTGCACGATGGATTCCCAGGCTTCCAGGAAGCAGGAACGAGTCAGTAATGTGCCAAGAAAACCGGGGCAATTTTTTTCGACAGACTTATCACACACCATGCACCATTTGACTTCCATATCTTTCCAACTATGAAGTCATATTTTAAGGGAACACGCTTCCCAGATGATGAAACACTGATTTCGGAAGTCAAGTCATGTTTTTTTTTTATACGCAACCTACTGACCTTTTCAAGCAAGGTCTTATAGTTGTATAAAACGATGGGAGAAGTCTGTAACTCCTGGTGGTTGCTATGTAGTCTGACTGACTAATAACTGTGCCAAGTTTCGTTCCACTAAGTCCAAAGTGGGTCAGGGGAAATCTTTAATAAACGCCCCTCGTACATTTTGTAATTGCTATGTTTAGTTACCTGCTATCAATTGAATGCAAAGCATCGATGAAGTCCTCAGCCTTCACATTAAATATTGATCTTCACGCCACTTTTAATAAATCAAGTGCCTTCAGACATTTATTCTATAAGCATTTGATAAGAGGCAGAAAGATTAAATGCTGGTCAGAGATTATACCGAGACATTTCACTTCTTTCACATCTTTAATGGGCGTACCATCTCCACTTAATTCTGGGTCTTTGTGTGGTTCATATCTTCTACAAAGGTGACTACTCAGATAACTCAGAACCATTTGTACACTGCTTCACCATTGTATGCACAGTTTATCAAAACCATCCACGAAAAGCTATCCTTTTACTGAATCACTTAAACCATTTGGATGGCTGTGATTTTGATACTTCATAAACTGACAGACATTATACTTCCTTTGTGGAACAACGTGAGACTGTAATGATCAGACAGTGTTGAACCCACTCGCAAATGAAATTGGCTATCTGCTGATAACTGTAATACAACATTATTGAGTCAGTGTGTTTTATTTTTTACGCCTCTTTTAGCAATATTCCAGCAATACGTCATTGTACCGATGTAGGGAAGCGAACCCTGATCTTTGCCGTGACGTGCGAATCCTTTCACTACTAGGTTACCCCACCGCCCCATATAAAATGAATCACACGACCTCTAAGACCAAAGTCAAATAGATCCTTTTACATGCAATGCTTCCAGGTAGTATCATAAGCTTTCTTAGCATCAAACATAAGTGATAATATATGTTGTTTAGTTACTATAAACACGTCACAATTTAATTCTGGACTCCAGAAACTCTCCGCACTGTGGCCACTTTCTGACAAGGGATTTGACAAAATTAAACATACAGTTGTCATGAATATAGGCCAAAGATGAAAAAATTTAAAGTTTTTCTTTCGAAAACTCCAACTTTAAACTCGTTCGCCCATGGGCCGGCGAGAATGTATAGTTTCGCTCGGAATTCATGTTTTGGTGGTTGTAAATGAAAGAATGTATGTTTATACGTATCAGGTCACAATAATTCAAATCATTTTGACTTAATTCGGCTAATGTAGAGCGATATTAAAAAATCTCGCCCATGGGCGAAAAAACATTTGGCCCATGGGCTAGAATGTTTACTTTTACTCAAAATACATCTTTTTCCATGTTTTGGAGGTTGTAAATGAATGAAAGTATATTTTTATGTATCATGACACAAACTTCCACTCATTTTGACTTAACTCAGCTAATTTAGAGCGATATTTAAACATCTCGCCCAGGGGCGAAAAAACATTTTAAAAAAATATTCCAGTCCTACTAAATTATCAACAGTGTTTTGATTAATCTATTTGCCATTCATTCCATGGTTTTTATAGACACAGCTGGTTATAGATATGGGTCTATAATTTGAAGGATCTGTATGGTCCCGACCAGGCCTTGGAAAAGGGACTACAATGGCGTTATGCCACGAAAGAGGAAATTTTCTGAAGTTCATATTTGCTCAAATATTTCCAAAAGGATCTCGAGAAAGAATGTTAAAGATATCACATTATTGTCTTCACCATTGTCTGCATTAAATTGTATTCATTCCTTCTCATGCTGTCTCTGATATTGTTTACTCAGGGATACACTTTGATGAAGAAGAATTTCACCAAGTTTATTTGCAATGTCAGCTTTATCAGTTAATAAATTGTCACCGTCCTTCAAATTTTCAACTTTTGCCTTTTATCCTTCGTATCATGTTCCACACCTTTGACATTGGCGTACGGGAATGTAATTTGGAAACATAATTCCTCCAAGACTGACGCTGTTTAGAAGTTTAGATGTGTGTCGAGCATTAGAGTTGACCTTAGTTAACTTCATCTAGATTAATTTCTGCTTTATCACTACACTATTTGGGTTGATTGAATTCATTATTGAACCATGGTTTACCAATATGTATAGGTATTGTGTCGTCAGTAATGGCATTTAATACATGTAAAATCAACCGTATAGGATCGTCAAAGAATCCATGAAAACATCATGTTTAAGTGGTCAATACAAAACTTCTCATATAATAGCGAGTTAGCCTAAGTAATGTTTAATCTTAAGGTGGGTCATCACTTGAGTATATAGCTTTAAGGATGGCTGGGAAGTGAGTTGTAGTTCCCTTCAAATTCATTGTACAGGTTTCTGTCTGCAAGGGATAGATCGAGGGCAGAATATGTTCCAGTGGCTGGATGTAAATAAGTCTTTGAATCATCATTAAAAACATAAACTATCGGAAACAGAATCGAGAACTTTCCCCTGTTGTTTACACTTGTACTTCCTCATACAGGCTTATGCCCATTGAAATCGACAATGACGATGCAGGGTTTAGGTAGCTGATCATACAGATTTTGAAGTTCGGGTTGACGAACGGATATATGAAGGTGGAACATATAGAACACGAACTTAATGAAATATACAAAGTAAGGTGTGTAGCAACAGCTTGAAGATTAATATTCAGATGTACTAATAGCTTACAGAAGCGAAAGGGATCATGAATGTTGACATTTGTACTACCTCAGTTCAAATGTGTCTGTATTTGTTTTTATTAGTCCAAATTTATGCCACTCATACTCCCTCATGTCCCGTTGCATCGTTCAAAAAGTACATGTAAAAAACTGAACCACCTGAATTCTGCTTTCTGCCAGCTTCCCCGCATTTACACAAATCATTGCGTTAGGCCAGCACTGTCACTCTTTTGTCGCTTGCAGGGGTAGAGGCACGTGAAGTCATGGTCGAAACTCGCCGGTCATTAAAATCAACAGTGCTTGATGAGTTACAACACTGAGAAAAAGGCTCTATTCTACTATTCTGCAGGGTTCAGATTCGACAGTCAATCAAGTATTTTCCTCCACTGTCACTTCAAATTTCGATCGGAAAATGGGAACACTGGCTCGTCCACATCTTTCCCAATTTCAAACTGTTGCGTGACTGTCAACAACTGCTTCCAAGAAAATAAGTAGATCAGACGATTCTATTATAGTGTTGCCATAGTCTTCGGCCGGGGGTGGGGTGGGGTGGGGGAGCTTATAAAAACCAAGCTCTAAGGTATTGCATTATTGCATTGCAAAAATAGTTTGTGAATTCAATTGGCAGTGATTTCAGTTCGCCTCTCGTACCATGTCGGATTACTCAGTGTCTTCCCATTGCCGTCCACATGGTGACTCATTCTATATTTTATCGTTATTGTGCCTATGTAACGTTCCAGCTGGTGGAGAATTCCATTATTTGCTCATTGTGATGTGTATTTTTCTCATTGCATGTAGTTTCCTTTTTGATGTGAGTATGTGCATGTATCCAGTTACGTGCTGAGTGGGATACACCAGTCTGTTTCACATATGGATGTTTCCAAGTTTTACGCTGATGCAGTTTATACAAGTAAGTGCACATAGGTAAATACAAATAACGTAAAGCGTTGAAATTGTCGAACTAAAGATTATGTGAGAAAATGCTTGTTGGTTGGTTTGTTTGTTGTATAACGCCGCAATCAGCAACATTCCAGCTATATGGCGGCGTCTGACAATCCAGTGATCAACAGCGTGGGCATCATTCTACACAATTGGGATACGATGATATGTCTCAGCCAAGTCAGCGACCCTAACCACCCGGTCCCGTTAGTCGCCTCTTACGACAAGCATGGAGTACTGAAGACCAATTCTATCCCGGATCTTCACGGGTTGAAAATGCTTGTTTTCATAGCTCACATAACAAGTTAATTTCAGCAATAGTTCTCGGTATCATCATTGATATGCCCTTATTGTACGCAAGGACGCATTTTTGTTAGAACAGGCAAATGCATGATACAAACATGTTTGGCTTACTAACTTCCTAATTGATAAGGTCCAATAATTTTCAACAGAGGACGAAGTTTTTATTACTTCATATAAAACGCCCTTTGAATGATATACATTATTATTGAGTATGTTGACATCAAATTTAATTGGCATATGACGGTCGTTATTAACCAAGATTTCAGTTAACATTGTACATGAATACAATCCCTGGCAGGTCAATAAAATAGTCAGGAACGACGTCACGTGAGACCAATGTCCACCTTCCTGCTTTTTCTAACGAGTTCATCATTGGCTCGAGACATTCTCTGTATTCCTCCACTTCATTTAAGTATTCTTCTCTCATCACATTGCATATCACACCGCCTGAAAATGACAAATGAAAGATGACTTTTATGTGTATCCTTGATATAGTTTGATACTTGTATTCGATATGAGAAGGAGTGAAATGTGCAGTCCACGCATGTTTTCATATGGGTGTTTCCTTGTTTAGTCACTTTGTGGTTGTTACCTGGTTTTGTAATCCGGAGGAGTTCATATAATCCACAACATGGAATATGGCCTTCTCCAAACCCACCGCAAATAACTGCACAGTCGTACGTATCTGTCGACATAAAAAAGTAATTTAATAAATTGAGAGGCGTTGTAACAATCGGTTGGGTAAAGCTCTGGCTCAACACAGGGAAGGTCTGTGTTTATTTCACCAGTGTTAATGTCTGCCTTCGGGATGCGGCATCAATAGTACTGTAAAAGCCGACTGGAATCTATATCCCTTCAGTGTGAGGAAAAGTGAGTTCAGTTTTACGCCGCTTTTTGACATCAGAAATAGGCTTCACACAGTGTACCCATGTGGGGTGTGAGGAGGTACATACCACGACTGTGGTATAGATGTGGTTATGTACCTTGTCTTCATCCGAAGAGCAGCAGCAACAACAATAGTAATAATAATCATAATTTGTATCCATCAATGTGTGTGTGTGTGTGTGTGTGTGTGTGTGTAGATGTGTACAAATGCGTTGAAATCTATCATTGTTGAATTTCGTCCTTGATTGAACTGATTGTAATTCCACGGCAGTTGTTTTTAGGAGTGTGAATATATGCTATGTTGAGAATACACTTTGTCTGCAAAGTGCAGATTCTAGAGTTTTTTCCGGGTTGAGTCTTATCCAGGTTTGAACCCACAGTCTCTGAATGAGGCCCCCCATCGCCAACACACATATAGCCAGCGATCAAACCCACTCACCCATTGCCGCTTCCACAGAAAATATGTATACAAGAAAACCCTTAAAAAGGCAACTTTGGAAGCACCTGAGTAAATTAGAAATTTAGTAAGGAAATAGATGATTTGGGGGGTGAAGCTGATTTCAAGAGTATCACGATTGGGTGACGTCAAGTTTCCATCAGTCAAACGTTCCAGTTCTTCTCTTATTTATTTTTATTTTCCCATGTGTGCAATATACTTGCCTCTGCATGTGAATGTGGCGGGTGCCAACGGTTGTGCAGGCTACGCTCTTTTTGCCGCGAGCACCTGGTATGGACACCGTTTCATAATGATTCATAGACACATGCTCATGATATCACTGAAATCGCGCAGTCGGCTTAAATATCAGCAGAAAATTCTCATGAAAGGGAAAGCGTTTGATCGCATATTACGTCACAATCTAGAAGTAGACAAAGATGACATTGTGATCAGTCACACTCCAATATACGTGCTTACCAGCTGCTATTGGTAAAGGATCTTGTCCTAACAAGTTTTCGTAGATCTTTTGATACAGGCCCTTCTCTTTGGCCCGAGCAATCATGTTGGTCGATGGTTCAAGGGCGTCCACGTGCATGAAGCCATGTGCCTTCAACTGAAACACAATCACACCTGACCTTGTATTCGGTGTTTCAATATTATTTGGAAATAAGCTTGAGCAATACAGTTATACTGATTGGATGAGCTACCCCCAGACTGAAATTTGCATGACTAGGTGTAAAAGGACATTTAAAAGTTGGCGTGTATAATATTACCTCCAGAGAAATGCATATGACAAACTAATTGCTGCTGACTTCAGCGTACATTGCACGGGAAATTGTTTCTGAATACAGGTCTGCTGGCACAACCAAGGACAATAAGCATACTTTGATTGTCCAGAATACACTTGAATATGTGCCTTCATGTTAATATATATATTATACAAACACGTATTATATACGTTCAATCTGTTTTTTCAAATGGCCACTTATTTCCGTTAGTAGGTTAACCTTTCGAAACACACATGGAGACTCGAGATTAAAAAGCGAATTGGAATGGATTCTTCACTTCAACAAACGTGCAAACGACAAGTTTGATTAAAAAAACATTACATTCTATATATACATGATATATCTACAGTAATAAAGCACCAGTTGGTATGTTCAATTAAATGTATTTATCAAAGTATGTAATCAATGTTCAATGTCAAGCAGCTGTCAACAGGACAATATGGATGTGAGTGTGTTAGTGTGTGCCTGCAGCTTGTGTGCTTGCTGGTGTACATGCCAGTGTGCATGTTCGTGCTCGTGTGTGTGCAAAAGTATAAACAGATAAACTAGCGACAAATCCATGGAATGCTGCAGATGTACGTCAAGTTAAAATACATGAATGCCTGACCATTACAAACGCTACATTAATGCTTACATTCTCAGCAACAAATCCCGTCCCTGCGGCAATGTCAATGACCTTCTTCTGGTTCCTGTCCCGGGGGTAGTAGCGGGCAACAGCATCAGCAGCAATCCGGGGACCGTTGTACCGTCCTGGCCGGAGATCCTTGAGCAAGAAACAAGTCAGTCAGTCAGTGTGGCAAAGTGGATAAGCAGGTTTGTGGGTTAGTCAATGTGTGAGGCGGTTGATGTGTGAATGAGGCGGATGGGTGTGTGAGTTAGGAGGGGAGTGATTGGCAGTGGGAACCAGTTATACTTCTCACCTTGTTCATCTGTTTCTTTTGACGAATGAATCGGAATGTCTGCTAGGCTTGGCAAAATAAATAAATATAACCCACCACCAGCCAGTGTGTGTATACCATTCAAAAAAAGTAGGGGATAATGGATTTACAAGACTGATAAAACTCAAATGATGAAGCCAAGCAGGAAACAGATGATGAAGTAGAGAGTTAAGGGAAAATGTGACAATTTATTCTATTCCTTTGGAAAGGTTTCATCTGTATGGATATATAGTATGGCCAGAAATTATTTAGAATTTTAGGAATATGTTTAATTGGATTTCTAGTATAAACAACCTTGACCAGCTATCAAGTGCTTGGTTTCATTCAAGAGAGACAACTCCGTTAAGTTTGTGAAGAGTTATCCCCCTTTGTTTACTTGCTAGCAGACGACATTTTCAGTGATCCTCAGTATGGATGATTTAGAGAAGAGGAAGTTGAGTTTAGAATATTATAACAAGGACATTAGATCAGCTAAAGTGATTTCAAGTAGAACAGGCATCCCTTTGTCCACTGTTTATCGTGTTTTGAAAAATATTGCAAATGGATATATGGCATTGAGCACCTTGGAGGCGCAGGTAGGCCCAGACAATTGACTGTCGGTGACAGGAGGCGGCTTGGTATTCTTGTTTCTAAAAACAAACGAAAGAGTTTAGAAAACTTAAGGCTGGATATAATTGATAGAGGAACTGTGGCTGTCTGTAAGGAGACAATTAGAACTGAGCTGCATGCAATGGGTTGGCAGAAAAGTCGAGGAATTCCATCACCGATCATGAAACCAGGTTGAACTGGTGCTTACAGCATAGAAATTTTAACTGGGACATGTGATTTACTCAGATGAAAGTTCAGTGTTGCTGTTTCCTAATTGTTTCCTGAAATTCTAGACCAAACAAACTGAAAAACCTTGTATCAGCGCCCAAAGTAAAGTCCGAAATTAAACGTGTGGGGTGGCATATCTGTGTTAGGTTCAACGCCCCTCTGTGTATTTGAAAGGAATATGAACAGTGAGTGGTACACAGATATTCTCGAGGGACATTTATTTCCATCTGCTCACGTATTCTATGGAAATTTTTGGATTTTCCAGTAGGACAACGACCCAAAACATCATTCAAAGCATTCACAGGCCTGGTTTCGGACCCAAACTATGACATTATTAGATTGGCCAAGCTATAGCCCTGACCTAAATCCAATAGAAAATGTTTGGGGACTTATGAAGGAAAGTGTCAATAAGAAAAATCTGACAAATATTGCTGAAATGAAAGAAGAGGTGGTCCGATATTGAGACAGCATGGACCACGACTTTCTAACTTCTTTGATCAGTAGTATGCCCCGCCGCATTGAAGCCTGCATTGCTGCCCATGGTGACTTGACAAAATACTAACTGTTCACCTGAATCTTTGAATCTGGAGTTATGTTCTGCTAATATTCACATTTAATACGTGAGTAATGAGTGAAACAAATAAAAAAGTACAATCTTTAAATTCTCAATAATTTCTGGTTGTACTGTATATTACTTTCTCTCATATGCATTGGCAGTGGCTAGTGGTATGCTCGCAAAATGAAATATCCCCTACTTTTTTAATGGAATATAACAGTACGAAAACACTACATGGTGTTTTGCATGCGTTGCAAACCAAATAAGCGACGGGGTTCATATCGGAGCTCCCTGCTAGCCAGGAGAATGAGAGTCGAACTCTCTGTTGCCAGCGCAGTATTTCGGAATGAATCGTGTGTGTGCGTCTTGCCAGAATTAGGTCTCGGTTGTCACGGTTATTGGACTTGCTCGGCGTTCCAGGTTTTGCACAATCGTTTACTTCACCGATGGCCGCGTGCCTCTTCATAATATAATAATGACATAATAACATAATAACAGGACATCCCGGCGTCATGTATGCCAATGACGTGTCACCATGTGTCTTCTGAAAACTACGTCAAGAAAAGTAGTTATTTAGTACTGTCGTCTTTTAAATCAGCTGAGAAAACTGCAGTACACATACTACATTAATTTAATTTACATCCTAATGTGCTTTGCATCTTTGCTCGTGAACATACAACATGCTTCTGAGATATTGTGTGGAGCATGTGTTTGTGCATGTGCATTCCAGTATGATGTAGTGTGATCGCCTGTTTAGACCTAAATGTTTAAAAGCACCCTTTAATTCAGGCGGTGCTAAATTTATGTTCATGTGTATATATCGATGAATGGTAATGATTGTGATGATTTAACAGTATCTATTTTCCTGTTTGTAGCGGAATGAAATATCATTCTTTGAAAGCACAGGTTGATACGGTGTATGATCTGAAAGAACTCATGCGTATTTGCAAGGACAAACCGATTTAATGACTGAGGACAAGGACGCTATGCCCTCATTTTTATGTGTCGATTTCCAAACTAAACGTGTCTTAACAGAGCAATATAATATACTAGCCACAAAAAGAAACTGTGTATATACGAAATCAAAATATATAGTGGAAGTATAACAATTATAACCTTGACTGAATTTGTCTCCCAGGTGAAATTTCTCTATAATTATATTCACTTGGAATATGCAAAGTGAACTGTCAGCCAATGATACTTGGTCTCTTTGCATTTTGTCAATTCCAAATTATTCAATGCATACAGCTGTAGCAAATTAGGAATCACGTGACCATGTAGGTAATCCGAAATAATTGTCCGCTTTTTAATGCGGAAATCGAGTTTTCTATAAACCTCTAATTTATACACATTCTGTTTTTACTGATCAAAACCTTTAATAAACAGATACACTTTCAATTCAAAACAATTTTACACGTAATAGAGCACACTTGTACCAGTTCAGTGCATAATTTCGAATTGCAGAATCGGAAAATCCATTCCATTTTAGTAGAACCCATTGGTGTTTCTAGATACATAGCGCTCACATACATGAGTTACATAGCGCTCACGTGTGTTACTACTTTAGGTAGGGAATCCCCGACCCGTCACATGTCACGTGATTAAACAAAGACACTGCTCACAGACGAGAGATCGACTGAGATGATTGATGGCTTGCAAATATTAACCTCTGGATATTTGGATAACGAAAATAGGGCGCAGCTGTTGATATAAGAACAAAGAAACCATTCATTTAAATTTTCGTGCGCAATAATCGTAACGAGTGCGCGAAAGTGCGACAAAGGATTTACTCCATTGCGGTCTATAGAGGTGCTTGCTTTCGTTCGTGTATGTGAGCGCTATGTATCTTAGCTAAGACATAGGTAGACATGACAATGACATTTGATATGGAATGTCATATACTGAAGATGAGAATACCGTATTTGCGATGCGAGTACCGATCTCGAATAGAAGCAAGTATCTAATAGACGGAGGTATGGTCATCGTGATGCTCTTGAAATCAGCTTCACCCTAAATCATCACACGTCCGTCTCACTAAATTCTTTAATTTACTAAGGTGCCTCTAACGTTGTCTTTATTAAAGGTTTTTCTTAGTTTATGATTAGAAGCTCAAGAGAATTCCATATTTAAACACAAATGGACATGACAGGGGAAGGTATACCACCAGCTTGTTCTTCACAGGTATACGACCAGCTTTTCTTCACGGACATACAACTATAGGTCTTTTGTACTTTTTGATATTTTGCCATCTGTAACATTATTGGCAACATGAACGTATCGATTTCACTACCTGTCACAGCCGGCAACCATTGTTCAGGTGTATATTGTGAAGGAGTTCTAGCTGTCGTGTTTCATATACCTGATTTCACAACATGAACCTGAGATATGGTGTATATATCCGCAACATAGTGGACTCACTTTCATTTTTAATTTCCTCACTCCATCATGAAACGTCAAGGTATGTCACCGCTCTCACGTATGGGTTTTCTAGTAACAAATTCATGATTATGTTATTGCCTACATATAAAGTTAATTTACTCTAATGTGTGTTGTCGATGAATGGCGGAGACGAAACACTAAAAGATGTAGACAACACAATATATGAGGTAGTTCTGGTAGTATGCAACCCCTTGCAAAAACATACTGACTACATAATGGATAGTGTAACAATCGAGAAAATTTATAAGCTAAAGAAAAAGAAATAGTTATTCCTACAAATAAATACATGTTGGTTCATCAAAACGAATCACCAACTGAAGCGAGAGGATTCTTTTTCAATGGTCAGTTACGGGTATATTCCCTAACCAAAATGCATCTTTCGCAAACATAAATGCATCCCTCAGTTTGAGATTGTGCACAGTACATGAAAGTTACAACACTTAACAGTCTGTATTTGAACCACCTAAGTAGCCCGAACGTGCTGCAGGAAAAGGGTGCTATCATGATGCAAGTGCCTTCCCAGCTGATGCCCTTATCATATATTTTATCCAACGCTTGCACGTTTCAGAATATGCTGGGTTTTATGTTATATGAGGTAGGTTGTTTAGATGATAGAGCGTGCACCAGCTGCTACGGCAATATACAAGGATATCTATGCATCCCTGGTCTGTTCCAGTTACTGTGACATTAAATGTTACATAAACAATATCCATCCATCCATTCTTCCATACACACACACACACACACACACACACACACACACACACACAAACCACACATACATACATGTGCTGAGATTACCGAGTGTGCAGTAGTACATATATAACAAGAAATTTCTGAAATATACATTTCAGAAATTTCTTGTTATATATATACATATAAAAATTCAATTATGTGGAATATAACGGAATCTTTCTTCAGAATAAAAGAAAATGGAATTCATCCTCTATACCGAATTTACAAACAGGGCATGTGCGTAGACATACATCAATATTTAACCATCTTCCTTCAGATATTTTTAATCCTAATAAGTGTGAGTGAGTAAGTTGGGTTTTACGCCGATTTAGCAATATTCCTGCAATATTACGGTGGTTAATCTTAATAAGCCTGCTCGTAATTCTTATAAGAATATTACGATATTTAATTTCATGTATAACACTTAAATATTTTACAGGTTCTAACAGACTCTTATATTCTCTATAAATTGTAGCGTGAACTGATGTCAAGAGTACAATGCCATGATTGAAAAACCATATTTACACACATCTTTTAAACATCTAAAACAATTAACCTTATTACCAACACTTTGTACTAACCACGCAAAGCCAAATCCATGTATAGAAAAGTTTATTATGAATATGAGAAGCGTAATTATTTTGTCCAACATTATCTAAATATACTCATGGGAACGAACAAAGGAACACACGAAAGTACAAGTGTTCCTTTATTCATTCCCAGAATTTCACCCACAGTGCAATACATACCTTGTACTTCCATGTGTTCCCTTATTCGTTTCCATGAGTATATAATGACGTGACATTTTTTCGGTATTCTACCAGAATGTATTTCTATAGGTTTTAACCAATATTTAATAACTCGACATAAGGCGTTTATATACAACGGATATCGTCAACATTCACCATATATTATAACATGAGGCGTTTGTAAGCCTATATTTAAAAATCTCTTACAAGCGAGCAAATTAACTTTTTCAATATTCTCATAACGACTAACCCGTACCCCCACCTCCGTACCATAAAGTAAAATTGGTTGAATTTGTGTATCAAATATTTTAAAGAATATCTAAGAATCAACCACAGCAATCTTTCTTAAGTTATGTATTTGTAATTAGGGCTGTAACGATGCATCGAACTATCGATGGATTGCACTTGTTGAGTCTCCGATAGCAATTAGTCGACGGTAGAAACGGAAAACTGTCGTAGCATCGATAGTATGTGTGACTATCGATAGTTTACTGATTGACTTCCGTTGATAAATGCGCAGCGCAAAATACAGGCAGTATCAGATTCGTTCACTTTGATTTAGAGTTATCCGCCCCTGTTACCTCTTAAACAAACTTGATCTGGGTTTCAAGTTCGTGTCAGTTATTAAAAGAAACTGAAACTACTTCAGCTTGATTTTATTCAATATAAACTATACATTCATTTGGGAAATGACTTCAAATGAGACAATTTAAGGAGAAAAAACTATTGCAACAGTATCAAGTCTCCATTTATCAGAATATCATTCTTAAATATTTTATTGTTTTTGTAGTCCTGAAGAAACATCATTACGTAAATTGTTTGCTCAAAGAGCTTGGTATACGTGACATATCAAATAATGCCACATATAAGGCCAGTATGTAAACTGGGGAAGAAACTTGCCAACGGTGCTATCAACGTTTGGCTTGGCTCTAAAACCTCTTTTGTACTTGATTCCCAAACTGTATAAATTTCCATACAAGGAAAGATTTATTGCTGGTTCCAGCAAATGTACCACCAAATCCCAGAGATTAACCATAATCCTTAATTCTAACAAGGAAGGATTTTCTCGATATTCACCGAACATTTTCGAGGCAAGCGGTATTAGTACCATGTGGATTTTCAAAGACTCAAGGATTTGCTTACATTTTAACGATTTGAGAAACGGACCGCGTTCCGTTCTGTCAAAACATTTGATTTTTCAACATTGTATACCACTATCCCACATAAGGAACTTAAGGAAAAACTTCATTCCTTGATTCATGGGGCTTTTGTAAACAAACGTTATGTACAAAGATATACCTACATATCTTTCTTTAGAGGTTCAGGACAATTTGACAAAAATGAAAGCAAATGTCATTTGAAGTTTACCAAGAAAACAATATGTGAAATGCTGGACTTTCTCATATATAAATTTGGGGTAAAACATTTCGCCAAGAAGTAGGCATCCCGATGGGCACCAACTGTGCTCCCTTACTTGCGGATCTGTTTCTTTATGCACTTGAAGCAGAATTTCTGCTTGGGTTGGCAAAATCAGAACAATGTTATATTTATTATATGGTTAACTTAAGCTTCCGGTATATCGATGAATTAATATCGTTCAATAACCACAAAATAGCCAATTGCCCTCCTGATTTACCCACCTGAACTTGAAATAAGGAGGCAAGTGAGACCGCCTCAACTGTTGCATTTTTAGATCTATATATAAAGATTCAGAGTGACAAAAGAAACACAAAGCAGTATGACAAAAGGGATGATTTCATCTTTCCAATAGTCAACTTCCCTTCCATGGCGAGCAATATTCCAACAGCTCCAGCTTTTGGTGTTTACAACTTTAAACACTTTTGATGTACAATCGAGCGTGCTATTTTGATCGGGATTTCAAAGAGCGCCATGCCACTCTTGCTCAGAAGTTGTTTGATCAAGGTTACAACATTCAAGGCCTGAGTAAAGATTTCAAGAAGTTTGAAGGTAGACATGTTGAGGAAATGTCCAAATTTGATGCATCAGTGACAAAAGTGATGTCCAATGCAATTCTCTATTTTGACTTATACCATACGTTCCCGAATTATTTCAGGTTAACAAATGTCTAGACTTAGCATATGTCACCGGTGGGGCAGGATACGCTAACCTTTTCGCGAACACCTGGTATCATCACTATTTCATGGTGATTCATAGTGACAATCGCTGGATTGTCTGGTTCAGACCCGATTTGCTTACAAACAACACCATGCAGCTATAATACTGCTGAAACAAATGGCTGCTCGTGATGTAGACAAAACTATACAATCTACTCTGCTTTGGGCAGAGATTTCGTATGAATGCGGAAAAGGTTTTGTCGCTTCTATCGCTATATAAGAATGACATCATCCGCAAACATCGAAAGCGATCACTTAAGTGCAAATTATGCATATTCCCATTAGCTTTAAGTGTACATAACTGATAATAATTCAATCAATCTCTCCATTGTGTGACTTCTCCGATGCGTTTATAATACAGGGAGTATCACTTGTTATCGTTGTAACTCACCTCTTCATACTGTTGATAGTATTGTGAGTAATACCCCATGGCCTCATCGGTGGTGATTCCTTTTCGAAATGCCCTGGCATTCTGCTGGTACGCAAATGCATCATCAGATTTCCATTCTAAGTCCCTAGTGTGGGCTCGGCCGTTCGACATAGTGATGGGTTCTTCTGACGAGAGACTCGAGCGCTGTGGCTCAACTGTGACAGGTATTGACAAATATTCATTTTTTCGGCCCAAGTGGTGCATTATACACAAGACGCTATTCAACGTATATTACTTTCAGGGAGATTGATCAGAAAAGAAGTTTCCTTTGTGTAACACTTGACTTCTGTAAAACTATACGCACATGTGCCATACCTATTCCGAAACCTGTTATACTATTTTCCATTAGAAATGCAATGTTGCCAGCTGTTACAGTGATCAACAATTATTATTTGAGAGCAAAACACACGATACACTTATGGAAAATAGGTACCATGAAACAAACTGAGCCTCAGTGTATTGTCTTCAACAATTATATGATGTTTCTTGTTTAAATTCGCTGTCATTAAGATCCCTTCTACATCACAGCAACTTGTAAATATTATAGTCGTGATCAGGCATTATCAACCGTCAACAGTGCGACGACGCACAGACGTCCCAAAGCCACCTGATCCCGGAAGAGAGGTGTGATGGGGACGCATGCTGATCCGCCGTTGGAATTGGTTAGCCAAAATTAAGATCCTTTTAGATCCTTTCTGTTGCAAACTCAAACTCATTTTGAGAGAGTAAACCTAAAAAGCAGCATCAGACATTTATTTAACATGTCACCCACATGGCGCTTAACAACACTGCACGACATAGTGCTTTTCAATGTGTGCCAACAAGTTTGCAATTTAACATCACCATGGCAAATTATATTGGCATGTGTAAGTATGAATTTATGTGCCGCATGTTTGGAATGCGTGGCTAAAGTGAAGTATTTCCATATATATAATAAACATAACGAAAGATTAAAATGTATTTGATCAGTTGTAGATAGGTTTGAAATAAATGATAATAGAAATTACCATACTTCAAAAGGGTTTGAAAATGATCCAAATGACGAGAATATGTATACATATTAAACACGTGTTGAAATGGCATGTGAAATGTTTGTCTGTCATACAACATATCTCCAGAGTTCCAGACGTTTGGAATTATACCGGGCAACTGTAAGTATCCTTGACAGTGTTTATGTACTTTGTCACCTGATATCAAAGCCCAGTGTTTGGTTGATAGGTCATTAAGTGGTACGTCAGGACGTGGAGAGGAAGGAATGGTGGTAATTGTGGAGTATGGAGGCTTTTAATGAGTAGCTACTTTGTTTCCCCTGTTCTGAATCTGATGTGTCTGCCTTTTAAATGTCCTAATATAAACTAACACGCAAAAGAAACGTAAGTCTAGTATAAAGTATATATGTACTAATTTTTTAACAGTATAGAATACAAATACCAACAGCGTCAGATATACAGAAATTTGAGCAAGAACAGTTGATTGGCAACAAAAACAGATGACGTCATTACATTTTGTGACAGCAAAAGAGTTGCGCATATTTTAGTCAATTGCCATGACGTCATTCAATACCTGGTGTGGCCACCATTAGCATTGATCACTGCAACACATCTCCTGTACATGGAGTGGATCAGACGATTTGTAAAGGCTCTGGTGATCCTCCTGCACACATCCAGAACAGCTGTACGAAGTTCATCAGCAGTTGTAGGCACTGGTCGCACTTCATTCAGGCGCCTTTGAACCTCATCCCACAAGTGCTCGATGGAGTTCAGGTCAGGGCTGAGAGCTGGCCACGGCAGGACACGGATGTTGTGTTGTTGAAGAAGGTTCATGGTAACTCTTGCAACATGTGGACGAGCGTTATCCTGCTGGAAAGGTGGTTACGATGTTGGGCGAAAAATGGAACAACATGGGGTGTGATGACTTGGTCAATGTAACGCTGAACTGTGACCCCATGTCCTCGACCTTGACCCACATTCTGGAAGCACATTGGTCCAAGTCTCGAATTCCGGTCCACAATCATGACACTAGGTCCACCCCATGCATCCCTTTCCAAAACATTTCTGTCAGCAAAACGATCTCCTTGACGTCGCCAAACTCTGACCCTTCCATCTGCATGTGACACACAAAGCCGACTCTCATCAGTGAATATGACACGTCTCCATTCACGTTGACGCCAGTTTTGATGACCCTGTGCCCACTGAAGTCGTGCTTGTCGATGCCGTGGTTGGAGGACAGGACGACGTGCTGGTCGGCGACATCGTAGGTTCTTGGAATGCAGGCGTCGGATGACAGTGTCACGGCTGATGCGTCGATTATGCGTTCCTATGGTGTCTCGAGCAGTCTGGCTTGCTGTCAGGAAAGGATCTCGCTGGTGTTGACGTGTAATGTGTCGATCTTGTTTAGGGGTGGTGACCCTAGGTCGGCCGCTTCGGGGAAGGTCATCTGTAGTCTGCGTTGGGTTGTATCGATGATGGAAACGGTAGATCGTGGTTATGTTGACATTAAAGTGACGGGCAACATCTTGGACAGACTCTCCAGCTTCCAACCGTCCGATAGCCTGGTTCCTCTCAAGTTGATTTAAACGTGGCATTGTTGATCAAAGAGTGACTGGCCAAAGATTTTGGCTCAGTTTTATACCCACTGAAGATGGTGACAACTCGTGCATGTTTGATTGCATGAGGAAAGTGTGCATGATGCCCACATCGCCATTGAAGCGGTGCGTTCGGGCAATTCGTTTTTTTCTTCTGTTCCCACACTGGCTTTGCAAAACGCAACAGAAAATGTAAATAACACCATCAACCATCATTATTTACCAACGTTGTTATAATTTGAGGGGTCTGAGTTTAATTCCTCCTTTGAGTAAGAAACTTGCGTTTCTTTTGCGTGTGAGTATATATTATTTTTGGCTCTGCAAATAATTTAATATATTTTCACTATTTCCTGCTTGTGTTAGAGTCGGTAACCTTAAAACTGAAGTATTTACAACCTCATCTGGAGTTCGCCAGGGTTGTGTTCTTAGCCCTGTCCTCTTTTTCTTTTTTATTAATGAATTAATTGAAGAGTTTAAAACCTTTGGATTAAGGGGTTTTTGTGTGAGATGGAACTGATGATATCCTATTACTTGTGTTTGCTGATGATTATTAGATGACACTGTTATTTGTTTGCAGAAGAAACTTGATTTGCTAAGAATGTATTGTGATAAATGGGGTTTACAAGTAAACTTGAATGAATCATGTATTGTCGTGTTTAGAAATGGAGGCTATGTTAAATACACTGAAAAATGGACGTATAGTGGAGTAAAGGTTAATGTTGTATCATATTATAAATATTTAGGTATAATCGTCTCATCAAGACTTGTGTGGCCAAAGGCATGTGAAACGTTAGCCCTTCAAGCTAAAAAGGCCTGTTTTCACATTTGTCAGCTTATTAAGAAATATCCTTTAATCCCACTGAATACAATTACTCAAATATTTGATACCAAAATAGATCCAATACTTTTATATGGTTCTTAAATATGAGGATTTACGGTGAGAGATAATATTGAAAAGATACACAGCTCTTTCTTTAAGAAATATCTTGGTTTCAGTAAATTTGTCTCCAGTACCGCTGTACCTGGTGAAGTTGGAAGATCATAGCTATGTATTAACTATTTTTACAGATGCATTAAATATTGGACAACTAATCACTATCCATGGGAAGGTTATTTAATGCTTAAGTCATATGACGACCAATGTGGTGTCAATTGGATGTCACATGTTCGTACCTTTTTAACTGGTTTTATGCAATGTTTTAAACAGATATGTAAATATATTCAGTATCAAATATGGCAAAGTAAATTAAGCTCATCACCATTTCTGCATGTCTTCGCAAAATTTAGAATGCTTAAAAAATTTTGCGATCTTTTTTAAACGAAATCTACCAGTCTAATTTGTATTTTATGTAAATGATCACTTCGATGTCCATACGCACTGAAATCATATATATATATACATATTTGTACTTTTGGCCACGAGGCGAATACGAATACACTTCTTCTTCTTCATGAAAAAACACTTAGACTTAAGGAGAATAATATCTCAACATATTCATTTCGGTAAAACTTCTATAGTTTATACAAATGTATTAGATGTTTGCCGAAAGAACTGCCTCAATAATTTCTGGGAATACTTTATATAATGTGACATCAAACTAATGTCAATTTTTCCATTGCCTTATCATGATGTTACTATTCCCAGCCACTCATGTAACATACAAAATCTATTGAACTTTGAGATGTACAATAGAGTCACTCTGTATGATTTTCTTGTGCACTATTTCTTACATAATATACACCTGTTATGATGCGGTATTGTGAGTAAGTAATGTTAGTTTGTTTGTTTGTTTGGGTGTTTTGTTTCCCATTGATAAACACTGTATGAATAGATTACTAATGTCAACTTAGAGAAGACGATTTAAAGATTATTCAAGCTATGAACTGCTGAAAATGCATGTGCCGTTTCTTGTGACTAATTTAAGAAAAAGCAAGGGATAAATGTCTGGCTTTATTCAAAGATTTGTGTTCTTCAGGTCAATGTTGTCACAACTCTATATATTTCCGTTTACACCAAGCAGGTCATTTACGTCAGGGCAGAATTAACCTAAATAAACTGTGTTTTTAATGTAGAGCTGTGCTACCGTGTTAAATGTAACACTGGAAACAATGTGCGCCTAAATAAGAAAACACTGAAGTGATTCCTATTTGATCGACGTGATCTTTCCTGTTGGTTAAAGTTTCTTTGTGCCAAAGACAGTGATACCATTAGCTTATCACATAAGCATAATCATTAAGCGTGGAAATGAAAATCTTGTAATACTTTAAAAAAAAATAACGCAGTATCACTACTCAACTATTTCTTTTAACGTTACATGTAATACGTTCACGTCACCAAAACTACATATATCGCTCGTCCGATGATTAACATTTCTGTGGACTCAATAACTGACTGACTGAGTTTGGATTTACGCCGCTTTTAGCAATATTCCAGCAACATCACTGCGGGGAACACCAGAAATGGGCTTCACACATTGTACCCATGTTGGGATTCGAACCCGGGTCTTCGGCGTGACGAGCCAATGCTTTAACCACTAGGCTACCCCACCGCCCCTGAACTCAATAAAGGAC